ATACCAACTAACTTAGGTCTATTCCATAAGTGACCTTGAAACAACCCAGAGAAATATTTGGCAATCTCCCTTTTAACCAAATCCAGTTCCTCCACCCACCGACCATCACACGTGAAGCCCATTATATTATTCTACGCCCTTCTACAATTCACAACTTTATGGAAAAATCTAGCGTTCGCATCACCCAACTTCACCCAATTACTTCTCGATTTTCGCCTCCATATAGCCTCCCTCTTTCTCAAAATATCCCATATGTCCTGTACTCCCTCTTGTCTTTGACTCAACTCAAACTCTTCCAAGTCAAAATCTTCATTCTTTATGTCCAACTGCTCCGCCATATTTGTTGCTTTTTCAAATTGAGCATCAACATTCCCAAACACTTCCCTATTCCAACCCTTTATAAATTCCTTTAACAACCTTAACTTTTGTTGACACCTATAACCTATGTATCCTTTAACCACCATCTCTCTCCACTTAGTATCCACTACTGTCCTAAAATTTGGATGTGGCGGCCATGCATCCAACACTCGGAATGGTTTCAGACCCCAATCTGCACTAGTTGTATGCAAGATAACAGCACAATGATCTAATACAGTCTTTTGCATCCCTTTTTGCACCCACTCATGCCCCATTTCATATATCCCCTTCATCATCAGAAATCTATCCAATCGACTCATAGAAGATCCATCTGGCCGATACCATGTAAAACGCCTATTCGCCAATCTAATATCAATTAGCCTTGTTGTTTCAATAAAAGCATTAAAGTCCTCCATCTCTGGGCATTCTTCTGTTCTTCCTCTTCGCTCTTTCGGATATCTAACAACATTAAAGTCACCTGCAATCAACCAGCATCTGCCCTTTTCCATAACCATCTTGCCCAACTCCTCCTATAACCTGACCTTTTTATGCCTATCCTGTGGAGCATAAACATTCACAAAATGGCACAGCACCTTCTTTGGACCTCAAACCCCTTCAATGGCCAAAAAACCATCCCCAATAACCACTCCTAACTTGACAAATTTAACTTTATCCCAGATACAAAGCAAACCACCAGAAGCACCCAACGACTCCATCATAACCCAATCATAGCCATGAATACCACAACCCCCTACACAAATTCCCATCAACCCTTTGTAGTTTAGTTTCCTGCACCAACAGAAAATCAGGTCTCTCTTTCCTCACTACCCACCCTACCTCCTTCCTCTTCAACAATCCCCCCAATCCCCTAACATTAAAAAATAAAAACTTCATAATTAAAGAAGTACGCACAAACCCACCAACTACACACACCTCAAACATCTCTCCTACACTCCCCCTTCACCTCCTCCCATTCTTCAACTTGCAGCAATCTAGATTGAACCTCCTCCTCATTTCCTTGTATCTCAACACCCAACCTTTTGCCCACACTAATCATCTTTCTCACCTCAAACAAGTTCATTTCCCTTTGTATCACTTGATTTCGATTAGCAATGCATACATTTGAAAGAAAAAACTACCACATACCTTCACCAATGCCTTTTGTTGAGCTTGCTTCCACCTTTTTTGTCGCTGCTTTGATCTTGTTGTAACCCACGAAGTTCTATTATCCTCAATTTCTACCATTTTTTGTGAATAGGATTCCCCGATCTGCTTCCTTCTTCTACCCGTGAAGCTCTTGTTTTCCAAAAGCTGAACAGAGGTCGTGCCATCCTCATCTACTATAGTGGCCTTTATGTGATTTGCACCATCAGCTTATCTAAAGGAATCCCGTGCAACAGGCCCAACAGACTCCTCTGGCCCAACCCGGCTAATACTCTTCAACTCATTAATTGTCTACGGCCCATGAACTTTAGTAGGCCCACCACATTCATCATCGTCATCAGCTTCTGTTTTCGAACACTCCTTTGCATCAGTTTCCATTGCAGAGTTACTTTTAAAATTCAAAACGCCTTCCTTCTCTAACAGATTCTCATCATTAAAATTCTCCTCATTCCCCCCTCCATTTTCGGCCAAAATCAAGTCATAATCCTCATTTCTGTTTTGCAACGAAGAATAGTCGGATTCCAATTCTGTTTCGGTCTCCCAGTCGTCGTTCGTCAGCCAGAAGTCAGGATCGGAGCGCCATTCCTCCTCTGCCACCCCTACCGAATACAGCTGGTCATCCACTTTCAGTTTAACAATTCTAGATACTGTACTCATTTCAGAACACAAAATTAACACCCTTCCATCACACAAAATTGATCGTTTTGTTGTCTCTTCATGAATCGAAACCACCTCTCCCGTTGAGCTTCTTATCTTTTCAAAGCATCTATCACACCAGGCTTTTAACGAAACCCTAGAAATATGTAACCACACTAATCTACTACTTTCTTGAGCCGTCAATGACCATGTTTCATCGACTCAAACCATAAATCGAACAATTCTTTATTTTGCTATAGATAATCTTCCAAACAACCTGCTTCACGTTCTGTTAATGACACTTGCCTTCCTCCCAATAGAAATATCGTGATCACCCCCCCATCCACAGCTACCCTCTCCTAAATACTAGTTATCGATGCTACCAACCTAACCATAGCCACCATACTTCCTTCAAGCCAGCTAAACCCTTCCTTCATGGATGTAAAATCAATAACCGCATCTTGAGGCTGTTCCTGTATGTTCTTTGCCACTCTGTTGCTTGTAGCTTCCTTGACACAAGATTCCACCGCCTCCTTCTGCGCAAATTGCACAGCCTCCTCACCCACTGACCGATCATGAACAGGAAGCTCCTTAATTTCTGGGCAAATTCCCACAACTGCTTGTGCATATGATTGACCCAATTGAACAAGTCTATCCATCCTACTCCTTGGCTTACATTCTTTAACCGTCCTTGTTACCTCAATGCCTGACTTCCTCCTATCATCTGCAACCTTCACCCTGACCTTATATGAGCCATTCCAAAACTCATTAAACCTCCTCTCCAATTCTTTTTCTAACTGCACTCCGGCCATACAAACAAAGGTGAAACGCTTCCCCCTTTTATCTCTTCACCCAAGCACATATACTTCCACAAGTTGCCCATAATTCTGGAAGCGATGCCATAAATCCTTTGCACTCGATGTCTCTAGAAAGTTATAAATGAAAAATACTGTTGTGTGCCCTAAACCCCAATTATCGACTCATGCTGTCCTCCACCTATGAGCCTGCCATCGTCTAGCGTTGCCGTCATCTCTGGCCGCCGCACCTTTCTCGAACCCTGTCCATTCCTTACGTTCCCCTAAAAAAAAACTTTAATTTAGGCGACACTTTATTTAAATTAGTTGTATTATCATTTAATTCATGATATTTGGTAATTAAATCAAACCTCCATCATTTCTAGAGAAAGAAGAAGAAATAATGATGAGTAAACACCCAAAATAAATTCAAAACCATTTGAGTAATAGAAATGCGGTTGAAAAGTATGAATTAATGGAGAGAGTTATCAATGGAAAATTAATTAAAAATAATTAGTATAGTATTTTAAAAAATAATAATAATAAATAAAGTAAACGGGTCAACCCGTCAGTTCACGGGTTGACCCTAACCCGACCTGTAATACATATATGTTGATTTTACGGGTTATCTACGCGGTTGTGAGTTGAGATATGTAGACTTTAATCCGTTTTTACGAGTTAGATTAGGGTGGAGTTGACGAGTCCAGTTGACAAGTCGAGTTGATTTTTGCTACCTCTACTTCTCAGAGTAAAGTATACTTTCTGCTGCGGTTCCTACAATGGTGCCAATAAATGCCACAACACCACCTTTGATTCCCTTATAATTTACTTTAGTGCAAAATGTTGTCTTTTCTATCTCGTAAAAACCGTGCGAATGGAAAATTAGAGCATGGAATGCATTAATGGAAAGAACAAAAATAGAAGTACTAAATTTTGAATCTTATAGTTAACGACATGGGTGCTCACCTTTTAATACGTCATACAGAGTCCATTATATTACTACGTTTATGTACATCACAAAAGCATGCTTCCTCGGTACAAAAATTCAATGCCAAGTTGGTGTTATAAAATTCCTCCTAACTTCGATAAATACCGTGGGACGTTTCTTTCCTAAACTCCCCCTCAACCTTCTGCGCTTCTTAATCACATGGGTTCTCACCTACTAATACGTCATACAGAGTCCATTATATTACTACGTTTATATACATCACAAAAAAATGCTTCCTCGGTTACAAAAATTCAAGGCCAAGTTGATGTTATAAAAAAATTGGTTAAATGCTAATTTTGGTCCCTCAACTTCATTAAGTTTCACTTTTTTGTCCCTCAACTTCATTAAATTTTACTTTTTTATCCCTCAACTTTATTGAATTGTATTTTTTTGGTTCATAAACTATTTTTTGTACTTTTTTGGTCCTTAAATTATTTTTACACTTTTTTAATCCCTTAACTTTAATAACTACACAATTTTGATACTTTCATCAGTTTAAGCTATTAACTCCGTCCACTTGGTATTTTTTTTATTTTTTTGATGACATATATAATCTAATTAGAAAAAAATGATAATATGGATAAATAAAATAATATGTAGATAAATCTTTATATTTTTTATAAAAAAAATATAAAAACCTCTCTACCTATTTTCTTCCCCCTCTTTCTTTCTCTTTTTTCTAGCGGGGGAAGAAAATAGGTGGAGAGGTTTTTTATTTTTATTAAAAATATAAAAATTTATCTACATATTATTTTATTTATCTATGTCATCATTATTTCTAGTTAAATGATTCATGCTATTATTTTTTTCCAGTTAGATTATACATGTCATCAAAAAAATATAAAAAATGCTACATGAATGAAGTTAACGGTTTAAACTGACGAAAGTATCAAAATTGTGCAGTTGTTAAAGTTAAATGATAAAAAAAGTGCAAAAAATAGTTTAAGGACCAAAAAAGTGCAAAAATTAGTTTAAAGACCAAAAAAGTATAACTTAATAAAGTTGAAGGATAACAAAGTGCAATTTAATAAAGTTGAGGGATAAAAAATAAAATTTAATAAAGTTGAGGGACAAAAAAGTGAAACTCAATGAAGTTAAGGGACCAAAATTAGTATTTAACCAATTTTTTTCAAGCGGCGGGTGTGAAATGTGACGGAACATTAACGGAATAATAAGAGATTTAACGGAAGTTAGTTTTCCGTCCAATTGGGTCCTTATTTGAGAATTTCGTAGAGTTCGGAACCTTCAATGAGCGCAATCGAAGTTTGGGTCTGAAATTACGAATTTGGTGTAAGTTCGGGTCCTTATGTCATATTTTTGCCTTCTATAAATACCATGGGACGTTTCTTTCCTAAACTCCCCCTCAACCTTCTGCGCTTCTCAATCCCCTCCCTTGCTTCTTGTTCAACATTAGTTCCTATTCATTTTTTTATTAAAAAATGGGTTAAATTCAATAAATAGTCTATTAACTATGTGGTTTATTTCAGTTTAGTCTAAAAACAATTTTTTCTTTCAAAATGATTTATAAACTATCAATTTTGTTTCAAAATTATCTATTTAACAAAATTCCATTAAGTTCAGCCCTTAGTGGCCCAATGATCATTCTCTTGCATGAGTGGATTAAGACATAATGTCTTGGGTTCTATACCCAGGACTTACTTCCCCTCCCCAAACAAATTCTCCTATGTTTAAAAAAAAAAAAAAACATTTCGTTAATTGACTAACTAAATTTTTTTTATTGTTGACAAGCTGTCCCTAAACTTTTAAAAAATGTTAAATTTAGTATAAATATTTTTTGTTTTTTTGCAATATTTTGTTTTTGAAGTTTAAATTATTTTATGTCAAATATAATAATTAATTAAGATAATAATTTTAATTTACATTGATCAAGATTCTAATTTTAATTTACAACAATCAATATTATAATTTAAATTTTATTATTT